GTTATCACGGGTCCCCATCCTTAGCTCCAGGCCATGGAGCCATGGAATCACTGATTCCTTAGGATTGGAGAATCTTCTAAGATCATCAAGTCCAACCATTAACCCAGCACTGCCCAGTCCACCACTGAATCATGTCCCCCAAATGCCACTGGTCCCCATCCTCGGCCCCTGGCTATGGAACCATGGAATTATAGCTTCCTTAGGATTGGAGAATCTTCTAAGATATTCGAGTCCAGCCATTAACCCAGCACTGCCCGGTCTACCACTGAATCATGTCCTCAGTTGCCACAGGTCCCCATCCTTGGCCCCTGGCTGTGGAACCATGGAATAACAGATTTTTAGGGTTGGAGTATTCTCTAAGATTATGGAGTCCAACCATTAACCCAGCACTGCCCAGTCCACCACTAGCCAATGTCCCCAAGTGCCATATCCACACACCTGAGCACTTCCAGGGATGGTGACTGCACCACTGCAGGGGCATCCTGTTCCAGTGCTTGCCAACCCCTTTAGGGAAGAAATTTTTCCTAATATCCAATCTAAACCTCCCCTGGCACACCCTGAGGCTGTTTTCTCACACAGAGCAGTGCAGCTTCTGGGGGTTTGTGAGGCTGTGTCAGCTGTGCTCAGAGTGCAGGGTATGGAGCACCTGGAGATGGAGCACAATGTCCCAAGCACAGCAGATGGGTGTGGGCACACAGCTCTGGGCTGGAGAGAGCTCCATGCTGTGGTGTGGAGCTGTGGCAGATGAATGCTCAGGTCCTGCTCAGGCTCTATGCTCTGTACTCCCATCCCAGCCCTCTCAGGGGTGTTTCCCAGGCTTGTCACCAGTCCCTGGAGAGCTCTCAGTTCAGGGCTTGGGTGCTCCAGGTGCAGCCAGTCCCATCCTGTGCCCCCAGGAGTTGTCTTGTTCGGGTCATGGGAAGCACAGTGCTGGTGGGCTTGCTGCATACTGGAGCTTTGGGAACACCCATCCCAGGATCCAAGAGGCCTTTTGGCTCTGGCTTAGGACCAGCTGTTGGGTGCCTTGGCCTGACTCTGGTGCCTTCACTCTGCTCCCAACACTCCTGTTGGGTGGGGGTACCACAGGAGCATTTCCCAAGGTTTGGGAGCTGTGGGCACTGCTGGAGGCCCACACTGCCCCCAGCAGTGGTGTTCCTCTCCTCGCTGTGCAGGCTTGTGTATGACAGGGAGACAGGGAAGCCAAAGGGCTATGGCTTCTGTGAGTACCAGGACCAGGAGACGGCGCTCAGCGCCATGCGGAACCTCAACGGGCGCGAGTTCAGCGGGAGGGCCCTGCGTGTCGACAATGCAGCCAGCGAGAAGAACAAGGAGGAGCTGAAGAGTGAGTCTGAATTTTAGGGTGGAGAGCACACTGGTGTCGTGCTGATGTCAATGTTACAGAGTGAGGGAACACTCTTCTGCCAGGCTACAAGGTGGGGACTTTGCAGAGCTCACCTGCTCTAAGAGGTGTTGCAAGTAGTTTCCCAGAGGGATAGGTGGGCTTGGCTCTGTGTTTCTGTTCACAGATGATCACAGAATCAGACAGTCACAGAATGATTAATGTTGGAAAATATCTCTAAGATCAAGTCCAACCTTTGGCCAATCACCACCTTGTCAACTAGACCATGGCATTAAGTGCTATATCCAGTCGTTTCTTAAACAGCTCCAGGGATGGTGACTCCACCACCTCCCTGGGCAACCCATTCCAGTGCCTGACAACCCCTTCTGTGAAGAAATTCCTCCGAGTGTCTCCCTGTTTTCACTGCCTCCCTTTTCCCATAATGGGTTGTGCTTCCTGCTGGTGATCCTGTTACAAATGGCTGGTTGCTGTAAGAGGTCATGAACTCTGTTTCAGGCTTGGGCACAGGTGCACCCATCATAGAGTCACCCTATGGGGACCCTGTGAACCCTGAAGACGCCCCCGAGTCCATCAGCCGGGCGGTGGCCAGCCTGCCACCTGAGCAGATGTTTGAGCTGATGAAGCAGATGAAGGTGAGTGAAGGAAAGCCACACTCCCTATGTGAGCACAGCTTCTACTGCTGCTGCCCACACCCACCCAGGTCCTGTCACGCCTTGTCAGAGCTCTGATCCTTGTGTGTCTTCTCAGCTGTGTGTCCAGAACAGCCCCCAGGAAGCCAGGAACATGCTGCTCCAGAACCCCCAGCTGGCTTATGCCCTGCTACAGGCCCAGGTGGTCATGAGGATCGTCGACCCAGAGATTGCACTGGTTTGTCCCTTGCTGCTTGTCCAGAGTTAGGAGGGTATGGGTGGCAGCCTTCATGGAGTGGGAGTGGAAAAGAACTTTCTCTTTTTTCTGCCCCTAGAAAATCCTGCATCGCCAGACCAGTGTTCCTCCTCTGATCCCAGGCAACCAGCAGCCAGTGCCAGGGCCAGGGCCTGGACCAGGGCCAGGGCCAGGGCCCAACGCGCAGCTGAACCCGCAGAATGCAGCTTCATCCCAGCCACAGCCCATAGTAAGAGCCTGCATGACACAAGCTGTGGGGGGGGAGATGGGCAGTGCCAGCTGCAGCTCTCCCAGCTGGGGTGCATGCCCAGCTGTTGGGCTGTCCCTGACGTCTGGTGTCTCTCCCGGGCAGGGTGGGATGCACGTGAATGGTGCTCCTCCTCTGATGCAGCCGCCCATGCAGGGGGGAGTTCCAGCCCCAGGACAGATGGCAGCCCCTGTGCAGGGCCCAGGCCCCGGCCCCATGGCTCCAGGAGGTGAGTTTGGGCTGAGCCAGCCCACCCATGGGCACATGGATCTTGCACGCACCCTGCTCTGCTTTCCCCCTAACCAGAGGGTTTGGTCCTGTGAGAGCACATGTAGTCACATGCTGTATGTTGTGCTTGTGTCTGCTGTCAGTGATGGGTCAGAAAACTGGATGATATCTGAGGAGACACAAGACCAAGGAAATAAACTTCCACATGCTCCCCCAGGAGCTGGAGGGGGCAAGGTATTTGGGCCAAAGGAACGGATTAGTGGTCCAGGGGTGGCTGAGGAGGGGTCTGATGTCTGCCTGTCCCCTCTCAGGTGGGATGCAGCCGCAGGTTGGGATGCCAGGTGCAGGGCCTGTGCCCTTGGAGCGTGGACAAGGTAAACCAGATGTGGTTAGTGCTGTGTGTGGTGTGAGTCTCGCTCCAGCAGGGCCCAGGCCGTGGGTGCTGAGCAGCACTGTGCCCACAGGCCCTGCCAGCTACCTGCAGCCTGGCTGTCCCCAGGCCTGGGGCAGCTCCACAGCTCTGGGCAGTGCCCAGGTTTGTTGGCTTAGGCACAAGGATGTTGTAGCAGCTCCCTGGCTCCCAGGGCCCAGCCCAGTTTGCTCCCAGCTTGTTCTGCACTGTGTTGTGCAGTTGTGCCCTGGAAGCCAGGAGACCTGACAGTCCCTGCAGAGCAGGACGTGCCCGTGTTTTCCATCTCTGAGAGCCCATGTCTGTCCCTGTGCTTGCGCGGGCAGGCAGAACTTGCTCTTCTCTGGTCCCTGTCCTGCTCCTTTGCTGCCTGGGTGCTGGGAAGCAGCTGGTGCGGCCACAGCGTCGCCCCGCGCTGTGCCCGGCAGAGGGAGCTGGCCCTCTGCTTTCG